TATCTCAGTATCCCTGTATCCCACTATCCCACTATTCTTGTGTCCCAGTATCCCTGTATCCCAATATCCCATTGTCCCAGTATCCCTGTATCCCAATATCCCTGTATCCCAATATCCCTATATCCCAGTATCCCATTATACCTGTATCCTAGTATCCTTGTATCCCAATATCTCTGTATCCCCATATCCTTTTATGCCTGTATTCCAGTATCCCTGTACCCCACTATCCCCGTATCCCACTATCCCAGTATCCCTGTATCCCAGTATCAAAGTACCCCAGTATCCCTGTATCTCAGTATGCCTGTATCCCAGTATCCCCGTGTCCCAGTATCCCAATATCCCCATATCCCAGTATCATTGTATCCCCGTGTCCCAGTACCTGGTGTCCTGGTACCCCGGTGCCCTGTGCCCCCCATCCTGTTATCCCATGTCCCTCTTTCACTGTCCCAGTTCCCATTCCCCCCGTTATCCTGTTATCCCATGTCCCTCTCCCGCTGTCCCGGTTCCTTACCCCACATTGTCCCATTATCCCATTATCCCGTGTCCCTCTCTCGCTGTCCCAGTTCCCGTTCCCCCCGTTATCCCGTGTCCCTCTCCCGCTGTCTCGGTTCCTGTACCCCACATTATCTTGTTATCCCGTTATCCCATTATCCCATGTCTTTCTGTCATTGTCCCAGTGCCCAGTTCCCCCTGTTATCCCGTTATCCCGTTATCCCGTTATCCCATTCTGTCTGTCATTCCCAGCATGGCCGTGTGGGTGGAAGACGCGACGTCCTCGGCCAACATCACCCTGCGCGTGCGGCCACAGCTCACCATCGGCACCCTCAAGGAGCAGGTACGGGGGGCACCTGGGGGGCACCTGGAACTCACCTGGGGGCACCTGGGGGGCACCTGGGGGCACCTGGGATCTCATCTGGGGGGCACCTGGAACTCACCTGGGAACTCACCTGGGAACTCACCTGGGATCTCACCTGGGGGCACCTGGAACTCACCTGGGGGGCACCTGGGAACTCACCTGGGGGCATCTGGGGGCACCTGGAACTTACCTGGGATCTCACCTGAGGGCACCTGGGATCTTACCTGGGATCTCACCTGGGAACTCGCCTGGGAATTCACCTGGGAATTCACCTGGGGGCACCTGGAACTCACCTGGGAACTCACTTGAGGGCACTGGGGAACTCACCTGGGATTTCACTTGGGATCTTATCTGGGAACTCACCTGGGACTCACCTGGGATTTCACCTGGGATCTCACCTGTGTCCCAGACCCCAACCTGGGAAGGGGGGTGGGATCCCCAGGATCACCTGGGGGGATCACCTGAGGGCTGAACCAGAGCCTGGCGTGGGGGAAAATGGGACTCCCGGGATCTCCTGGAGGCTCACCTGGATCTCACCTGGATCTTACCTGGGGTCCTGCCTGGGGGACAATGGGACCTCCAGCTCACCTGGGGTGTCACCTGGATCTTACCTGGGGGAGAATGGGACCCCCAGCTCACCTGGGGCTCACCTGGATCTTACCTGGGGAAGAATGGGACCCGTGGGTCACCTGGGGTGTCACCTGGGTCACGGGGCTCACCTGGGATCTCACCTTGGGGGCTATCCCAGAGATCCCCTCAGAGCTCACCCAGGATCTCACCTGTATTTCTCCCCAAGGTGTCCCAGGAGTTTGGGTTCCCCGGTGTCCCCTGTTCCTGTGCCCCAGGTGTTGCAGGAGTTCGGGTTCTTGTCTCTCTTGTCTGTCTCTCCCCTGTCTGTGTCTCTGCAGTTGTTCCAGGAGTTTGGGTTCACCTGCCTTACCTCTGTTCGTTTTACCTGTCCCAGGTGTTCCAGGAGTTTGTAGTCCTGTCTCTCACCTGTCTCCCTTAGTCCTGTCTCCCTTGTTTCTGTCCCAGGTGTCCCAGGAGCTGTTTCCCATATGGTGTCTGTCCCTGTCTCCCCAGGTGTCCCAGGATCTGTTTCCCACATCCCTGTCTCTCCCGTTGCAGGTGTTCCAGGAGCTGGTTCCCACATCCAGGATCTGTTTCCCACATCCTTGTCTCTCCCTGTCTCCCCAGGTGTCCCAGGAGCTGGTTCCCACGTCCAGGATCTGTTTCCCATATCCCTGAGCTGTTTCCCACCTCCCTGTCTCTCCTGTTCCAGGTGTCCCAGGATCTGTTTCCCATGTCCGTGTCTCTCCCAGGAGCTGGTTCCCGTGTCCCTGAGCTGTTTCCCACCTCCCAGTCTCTCCCTGTTTCCCCAGGTGTCCCAGGATCTGTTTCCCATGTCCAGGATCTGTTTCCCATGTGTTGTCTCTCCTGTTCCAGGTGTTCCAGGATCTGTTTCCCATGTGGTGTCTCTCCCATTGCAGGTGTTCCAGGAGCTGGGTTTCCATGTCCAGGATCTGTTTCCCATGTGGTGTCTCTCTCATTGCAGGTGTTCCAGGATCTGTTTCCCACATCCAGGAGCTGTTTCCCACATCCCAGTCTCTCCTGTCTCCCCAGGTGTCCCAGGATCTGTTTCCCACATCCCTGTCTCTCCCTGTTTCCCATGTGGTGTCTCTCCTGTTCCAGGTGTTCCAGGAGCTGGTTCCCATATCCCTGTCTCTCCTGTTCCAGGATCTGTTTCCCACCTCCCTGTCTCTCCTGTTTCCCCAGGTGTTCCAGGAGCTGGTTCCCATGTCCCTGTCTGTCCCAGGATCTGTTTCCCATGTGTTGTCTCTCCTGTTTCCCCAGGTGTTCCAGGAGCTGGGTTTCCATGTCCAGGATCTGTTTCCCATGTATTGTCTCTCCTGTTCCAGGTGTCCCAGGATCTGTTTCCCATGTGTTTTCTCTCCCTGTTTTCCCAGGTGTTCCAGGAGCTGGGTTTCCACCCCCGTGTGCAGCGCTGGATCATCGGGCAGTGCCTGTGCAGTGACGGTCGCTCCGTGGGCTCGTACGGGGTGCGGCGGGACGGGGACCCCGCGTTCCTGTACCTGCTGTCTGCGGGGGTGGCCGGGCTCACACGCCACGACCAGGCCCAGGCGCTGCTGCGGGCACTGCCAGGCCACGGGGACGGGCACGGGGCAAACAGCCCGGCCAGAGGGGCAAACAGCCCGGCCAGCGGGGCACACGCGGGGACTGCAGCGCCTCAGAGGGGTATGGACACACCGCTGCATCCTCTTCCTCCTCCTTCCTCCTCCTCCTGCTCCTTCCTGCTTCTTCTTTCTTTTTCCTCCTCCTCCTTCTTCCTCCTCCTCCTCCTGCTGCTCCTCCTGCTCCTTTCTCCTGCTGCTTCCTCCTCCTCCTTCCTCCTCCTGCTCCTCCTGCTCCTTCCTCCTCCTCCTCCTCCTCCTGCTGCTGCTGCTCCTCCTTCCTCTTCCTCCTCCTCCTGCTCCTGCTCCTTCCTCCTTCTTCTGCTCCTTCCTCCTCCTTCCTGCTTCTTCTTCCTTCTTCCTTTTCCTGCTCCTTTCTCCTCCTCATTCCTTCTCCTCTTTCTCCTGCTCCTTCCTCCTCCTCCTTCCTGCTTCTTCTTCCTTCTTCCTTCTCTTGCTCCTTTCTCCTTCTTCCTCCTCCTGCTCCTTCCTCCTTCTTCCTCCTCCTGCTCCTTCCTCCTTCTTTCTCCTTCCTGCTTCTTCTTCCTTCTTCCTCCTCCTGCTCCTTCCTCCTCCTCCTCCTGCTCCTTCCTCCTCCCGCTCCTCCTTCTGCTCCTTCCTGCTTTTTCTTTCTTCTTTCTTCTTTCTTCCTTCTCCTGCTCCTTCTTCCTCCTCATCCTCCTCCTGCTCCTTCCTTCTTCTCCTCCTCCTGCT